CAGATGAGTACCTTATGGCTGGTTTCCTATCCTATCCTTACAAAGTCCAACGCTCAAATCTCAAGCTATGGTGCATGTTGTAGAAGAAACGGGCTTATCAGAGATGAAGACTCCTAGAGTTAGAGAAGAGATATTTTTCAATCGCCACTTACTCCCGAAAACGGAGTTTCACTTTTTCATATAATTGTAGAAAGAGTCGGTTTTTTTATGGGAAAATATTAGAATCGTGAGTTTTTTTTTTTCTTTTTCAACCTTTAATTCTGATGAGTGACCAAGACAGAAATTATCCTCACAATATCAATACAAAATTAAGAAGTCAAGTGATGAGAACCAAGAAAAGTATCAATTGGGGGATTATTAGCTGATCCAATACCAAATTCTTGGTGGTAAAATCAGAAGAATTGTATAGCAGACTGTAAGGAGAATTACAAATGATATCTTGGGAGTTAAAGAGTTAAACGCTGTTCACTAAAGAACGCCGTAATTGTAATTAGGCATTACGACTCCAGCCCGGATTATTTGTGACTTACTGAAATGGGTGACACCGCTGGATTTTTTACCTCGAAGGCTCGGTTTATTCCTTTGGGCATTGCTTTCGGTGGCTGCCGAAAACGTGTCGAATGATTTCGGTTTTATTCGTTTCGAAAAAGGTGAGATATTTTGGGAGAAGACCAAAGGAACTGCGGAAGGTACTTCAAAAGACTTGGACAATAGTGTAATTAAGCTACCTTGCGCGAACAGACTTGTGTGTTTTCCAAGTATGAATTAATGCGATAGAGCGAATTGCTGAACAGTTATTGTTTCTCAACCAGGTGTAGTTGCATCTCACGAAAAATAAGTCTTTGCAACATCTGAAAGGTCAAACAGTTGCGAAAAAAGCCAATTTTAATTCAATAACATACAAGACAAAAGGGATTAAACAAGAATATTAAATTGCAAAATAAATTGGTGGTAAATACCTAGTGGTATATCATTACACATAGGCATATATTACATTGATCGGTCCTAGAAATTTTTTATCTCAGAGGAAGCAATAATCCATGAAAATCTGCCGGTTTTTTTTTTTTTTTAGTTTAATTTTCACCGAAAAAGTTTATTTGAAAGTACTGGTTTGTTTTGTTCTTTTCATGTTGTCCATATTAGTGATATGCCGCAATTTCGGATGGACAAGCAATCACAAATGTTTTTCATTTAAGGAATATGAAAGAAAATATGAACTTGTACTCCAAAAAACTGCAAGGAACACGCATATCTCTCTAAATGCGATCCATTCATTAATTATGGCTATGATTATTAAGGGTTTTAACCATAAGGAGCAGCCTCTTGTCGATGAGCTTTTAGCTATGGGTGGTAATTAGAAAGTAGAGATGTCAAGTTAAAGATGACAACCTACTCACCAAGATCGACCGTCATGAAATAAACTGAACTAACTGCTAACGAATAACAAAGTGTTCTCATAATTCCAACCTTGAGGTAAACTGTAGAGACCCAAACGACAGAAAATGGCTTTTCTTGCCTCAATCCATTATTAATGATGTATGAAGTAGATCCAATTTACCACCAGATATATTTTGCCGTCTAGTTACTTTTGTAATATTAATCTGATCTTTTAACGAACAAACAATCGGCCAATGAATTTTCAAAAAATATATTTTTCCGTCCTGAATGGAGTATGGCCGGGTAATGATGTAATGCATCTGGGTGCTCCGAAGGAAAAAAAAAAACAGTAATGACAAGCTTTTCTGTGGACGTTTTAGGTCTTACAGTCCCGGATGGGAGTAATTGCCGACTGCTCCTTATTATACCGCATGCTAATTAGCATACTGCTAATGGAAATGGAAAAATATTACGACATTGATCTATCGGCAAACTCTTTAACTTTACGAACGAAATATATCTATGCTTCATGAGAGGATACTTAAAAATAACTTTAAAAAAAAATTAAGGTAGAAAAAGACGCAATGTGAAATCGAGGATCCTCTGATTCTAGGAGACAGATTTGAGTTTCATTCCACAGAAGTCCTCCTAAATTGATCTGCCATATTTAACAATCAGTCCGCCATATTTTATAAGATCCCTACTCACCCAGGACTCCTAAGGCCGCTGCCAACGCCACGAAATCTAAATATCAAGTCCCTTCATTACTCGTTCCTTTACCTGGTATATCCACGAATTAAAAGCAACGCGTCCCCGTTGGTGGGAAATTTTCAAAATTGCGTTCTCCACGATCGAAATAATAGCTCATTATTTCAAGGAGTCTAAAGGATGATCGGACCCTAGGTATGTGGTTTGCGTAGGGTTATTTTTATCTTCTCTTCCTCGGCTCCGAAATGTTGTAGTTTAATAAAGTTTTAACTATGTTAACTGTTATATACCTCAAACTTTATTTGTGTACTTATTAACTTTTTATTGCACCAAAACTAATTTCTACGGTTCAGACCTGATTACCGGTTAAATGATTAATAACGGTTATTGAACTGAGCGGAGTGCAATTTGGGCTGAAATCATTCGCGTGATTTTAAATGGAACGAGCGTGCAGCGC